ACATCTTATTTGACTAAGCTATAGTTATTAAGCTTTATTAGAATAATTCATTTCTCAAAACTAAAGTGTAGGAACCTTTCATTTACAGGATTATTGCCTTAAAAATTTACTTCAGAAAGTTATCCTTGATGGTATAGTCTACTATGTATATTGAATATATACCGAATACAATTATCAGACTGTTTATCTGAGGTCCATTAGTGCCAAACGTAGTCAGACATTTTCTTTTACATAGATCTGTTTGAGGCATATCTGTATATCTTACCAAATTAAGACATTGCACTTCAAATTTGAAAAAAAAATTATTTGAACATCTTTTCACACAAATAGTATGTCACAACGAACGAAGTCTAGAGGCATATTGTTATTGTTCAACCCCATTTTCTTCTCATGGATTTTCTGTGATGGCAATCTGTTTTTTCAGAGTAATTTTGTCGTTGTACATGCAAAATTTGAAATGGCCGACGTTTTCATAGAAACGGGGCAAAGGTCAGGTAAAATTGGAATACCTTATTGCTTGCAAAAACAAAGTTTCAAGTTCTTTCTTCCTTGTGAGTTGTCCCTCTCAAATCTTTCTTTCACTTAATGGAATACTTGCACAGTGTTGTGAAGCGAATGAACAATAAATCTTTATAATATATGCAAAATATTTTAAATGTCTAAAGAAAAGGAGTAAAAATTGAAAGCTTAATTACTCCTCCTAGGCACCTGATCCCATCTCTGGTGTTTCCGGGGTTCTTTGTTTTTGCCCTGTTCACGATTTGTATTCTTAACCGGATGTATGAGATTGATCAGATTGATCACTCTTCGTTACCTTCAGCTTTTCTTTTACACTAAATATGATAGATGTCCTAAGCCTATTACTAAACTAAAATCAGTGTTCAAAACAAAACATTTTCCACTTTCTGAGATATTTTTTTAATAATGGATGCAGTACAAATTGACGTATTTAAAGGAGGTATTTCTATGATATTCACGTAGAAAGAACTAAAAACTAAATAGCTGGAAAAAATTCTTTTTATACTAGTATTTATTCTTCTTTCTGATACCTTCGAAAATCCATTAAAACAAGGTAATAAAATTTTGAAATTTAAAATCATCATGATTCATCACTTACATAATTTCTTGTTGATAATGAGCAAAAATGTTCAAAACAACATTCTAAAATAGTCCGATAAATTCACAATAAGTAATTTAAACTGCTTTGACATCATTCTTTTGTTTTCAATGTTTACACACGAACCCGTACAGTGCAGGAAACTAATTTTGTTACAGCATCGATGCTGATTTGAATGCTTCCTTTGCTTGCTGATTTGAATGCTTCCTTTGCTTGCTGATTTAATGCTGGTTATCCTTATCCTGATGCTGTTTTATAATTAGGTCAATGCTACCGGAAGTAGCATCATGCTACCGGAAGTAGATAATAAATTTCAGCATTGCCGTTTAAAGCAATAAAAGTGCCTTTTACAATTATTTGATCATAATATCTCACTATGTATCAATAATGTGAATACCTAAACCAATATTCTTTCTTTCTTTTATAATTTTTTACTGAATTAAAACTCATTGATTTTCTGATGCTAGTAGGATAATGCTGATTTTATGTAGGTCAATGCTGGTTTTATCCTTTGCTTGCTGATGCTGATCCTGGTAATGCTGTTTTTTAAATGCTGATGCTGATGCTAGCTCGATCCTGATGCTACTAATGCTTATGCTGATGCTGGTTTATGTAACAAAATTAGTTCCCTGCACTGTAGGAGTTATGTAATAATACAAAGAAGTCTGAAAATATAAATCGTACTGCAGTGATTTTTTTCTATTGTTTTCTAAATGGACTCTTCATGGAAATTTTGGAACATTGAAAATGCAAAGTTTTAAGTCGAGATACATATATAACTTATTTAGTTCTTTATGATTACATGAATGAAGTTGCGGGAACATACCAGTATTGTTTTTGTTCCGATTCATTTTATCGACAAGAGTTCTCGCAGATAGCTGGGAAGATCTGAGTGAAACTTCACTGTAATTATAAGAAAGAACTATCGTCGAGCATGCAATATTCAAAATGGACACTGTTGCCATGGAAATGGGAGAAGTTCAGTTTGAGGTGACATACGCTATTGCTTACAAGGGCAAAGTTTCTGGTCATAAATATCATCATTACTGTCATAAAACAGCAAACTTAAAACAATTATTATAACGAATATATTTTTGTACCATAAAGCAGGTTTGGAGTAAAACAAAAATTGAGCCAGTTAATAATTGAATATAATAGTTCGCGCTTTTATAAACATTTAATATATGATAAAAACGATTTATGCTGGAGAGACACTTTTTAACACTTTGCAATATTTACTTTGATCATGATCCATATGAATATCCGGTATTCCGAAGAATATATAAATGACTATGATTGTTACTAGTAAAACATCAATGTTTATCGGGAAAAAAAAAAATTAAGTAATACTTATAGTAATTGCTTTGACACTGTGAAAGCAATTCTAAACCTCCCACTTTTTGGACAATTCGCTCGACAACACACGTACAAAAACAATGATAAGAGATGATTTAGTGACGTCATTTGTTGCTACCCAACATGACATGTTAATGACTGTCAGATAAAACCCATTGTGTTTGTTAACAATCACTTACATTTACTTATATTAAATGATTAGGATTGGGGTAAATTAACAAACGAGATGTCATCTGTCATATGCCGTTATGATTTATTTCTGTTCGTCAGACTATGTTTTGATGTCTTCACTTGAAAGAATGAGAAGCAAATATGATATAACTTGTCCTGTTCTTATTTAAAATGATGCTTCATTGGGTGGTTATGAATACTCACATAAAGGTAAACGAATATCATTTAATATTGAACAAATCCATCTATGTGAAATGCCTAACATAGCATTAAGAATCTTTATCTTGATGAAGACATATACAGGTATTCTGCAAAGTACCAAGTCAGTTTTTAATCTGAGATGTTTGTCAAAACTTGTTGTAAAGAATTGTAAAGGTTTAATAAACTATCTGGTTAAAAAAAACTATAGTTTTACAAATTTTCATTTTAGATTCAATCAAAAGAAAAGACCAAGGAATTTCTTGAATGGTTACAGGGACACTGACCATTGGTTACATGTGTTATTACGGCATCTAAGGACATATATGATGGTTCATGCTAAAATGACTTCGGTTTATTCCGTCTACTTAATCAATACATAGATCTCTCAGCGCGTGTGACCGGTCGACAGGGGAGGCATAATATGCCACTTCTGTAGGAGGGGTCCTTGTTTTATGTGCTGTTCACAAATTTTTATTGTTTGTAGAGTTGTTTTTTTTTTTTATCAATCACTCTTCTTTTACATCATTTTTGTCACTTCTACATGACAAGATGAAAACTTGCTGTAGCCTTCAACTCAACATTTTGATATATCGACAACGTATTATCAATTAACAATAGTTACTTTCATTCATATGTCGACTCGATATATCCCAGTGAGCTTGAAATTATATACCACAGATTCTGACACATCTGATTCACATTTAGATATTTTACTAGAAAAAGACGTTAATGGTAACCTAACAACCAAGCTTTATTATAAACGTGATGACTTTAACTTTCCAATCGTCAACTTCCCTTACTTATGAAACAATATACCCTTATCACCTGTATATGGAGTTTATGTCCCTCAGTTGATTCGATACGCAAATGCATGCTCTACGTATAAAAATTTCTAAAACGAGGCAAGCTATTGACAGACAAGTTGATTAAACAAGGATATCAACAGTCTCGTTTGAAGTCATATTTCCGCAAGTTTTCGGTCGATACAATGACCTTGTCAGCACACAGAACCTTTCATTGAGTCAAATGCTGACTGACGTTTTTCATGTTAATTGTCAGGCCATTATTTATACACTGAACTTTGTACGGATTTTCCCGGTTTTTGTTTCCCGATCATGACAAGGAGCACGCAGCGGGTGTGACCGGTCGGCAAGGGATGCTCACTCCTCCATGGCACCTGATCCCACCTCTAAATTTTGAGGTCCGTGTTGCTCTGCTTCAAATTTGTATCGTTTATTGGACTTTAGAGATTGAATAATGTTCGTTATCTTCATATTTCACTAGAAAATTGTAAGGAAAATCGGTGAATATATTTCCATCTAAAAATCTAATTTGAATTTTTCTCGATACTGGTCTACATAAATGATAAAGTCTACAGATAATGTTTTAATTGTTAATTGTTTTTCTTGACCCGGAAGTATTTATGATTAATTATTTTTTATTCAAAATAAGAGTTTCTTTTTCCCTATATTTGGTCTTATTTTTTCTTTGTTCAATTAATTTTACATATACCTCATAAGGTGGGTGAAAACTTACTTGATGGAACCTCTATCCCTTTTATCATTATGTTTTCATTTTACCGACATGATAGACCTCACCCTTTTACAAGCCACCTAACAATATTGGTAGTCTTGAATTTGCACATGTGCAAGCTTCAGTATAGAATTAAGATCGAAATGTTAAAGTAATGGATATGGCGAAAGTAGATTGAATCACATTAAATATGCTATATATTCAGAAGAAAAACCATGTTATTCGAGTACGTAATGTGCCTTATATTCCCCCTTTCAATTGGTCTTAATCAACTCTCTTAGTTTAATTTTATGAAATGTCATTGTGATGAGAGAACATGTAATTTCTATTTTTTTCCTCTAAACTTTACCTTATAGAATATTTGATAGTAGAGATAAAAATTGCAATATACACATACATGTATATGTAATTTAATATGATTTGGGCACTCTGTACAATAACCATATCTTCTATGTTTAGTGCGTTCAAGAATTTACAGAAATCAAAAAAACTATTAAAAAGATAGCTAAATCAAATGAAGACATTCACTAAATCAAATGAAATGATTATTTACTAATTATATTACTTAAGATCCTAAAAGCCATTTCATATATTTAAAAAGTGAAGAGAATGAAAAAATTACCTTTTCTGTCTTACTTCGGCACCAAACATACTTAGTAAATGCCTCATCAGAATCTGACAAGCATCCTTTCTCGCGGCAACCAAATCATTATTAGACTATTTTCAAAAAGAGCAGATCAAATATGATGAAAGGCGAGCACTGGTACATTGTTAAACGATCGATTTAATTACGGTAAACGATCGATCTAAATGAAGATTAATCAAGCTCTCTCTCATTAGCCAGACTTGAGTATACATGCAGAAACAAAAAAAATATATGAAATTAATTTTCGACTTAGATTAGAAATAATTGTCAGTCCATTTTTCTTTCTGAATAAAGTGTTTTGAATTATGTACCTTTGAAAATCTTAGTGTATTCAAAATGGATCTGATGCGTTCCATATCGTTTGAGAAATAACATATTTTCAAGTCCTAGGATTTCATTTTTTTTTTTTTTTTTTTAAATTAGGAAGAGAAAATTTTTGATTTTACTGATATTTTCTATTGTTTTTAGACCTATTGTATAATTATTTCATTTTTTTAATATATAAATGTCATATGAAAAAAGTGAAGATAACGAACAGTGATCAATCTCAAAATTCTTAAAACAGTACAAATTTTTTAACAGAGTTAAAAACACTGAACAATGAAAACTTCGTTTCCCTTGTCGATTGGTTAGCCTTAAAAAACTATAGTAAACTAAATTTCGTCTTTCTGTTCTTCCATTTGTCCGTTCGTCACACTTTGCGTTTACGCTAGTTTCAAAGAAACTTGTCATGATATTTTACCAAACTTATTGTACTAATACAGTAGCTCATCCGGTAGAGAACTGGCTCTGTGATCGGGAGGTGATGGGTTCAAATCTCGCCGCTACTGACCTGAGTCGATAAAAAATAGATAGAAACTGTTCTTGCGCCAAGCTCTCGGCACTTTGAAGTGAAAGTGGGTCAATTGGACGAGACCTTAAAAACTGAGATCCCCCGTCACAGCAGGCGCTGGCGAGATATGGATCTCTCACTGCTAAAAGGCCCTGAGTGACTTGAAATGGTCTTAATTTGAAGCTCTTCTCCGGTATATGATGACGTCTCTATATGAGTGAAAAATTCTCGGACAGGACGTAAAACAACATGCAATCAATCAATTAATCAATCATATACTAATACTTGGTAAGAACTATTCAACTGCATCAAAATTTTATGACCGTATAGTTTCCTTTGACATTGAGCTCACATTTCTTAAGTTTAGTGATTTGCTTACTTTCTAAGAAAGTATTCGAGATATCTTTATGAAACTTTATATGCAGATACATAATGAGGACTATCTCAACTTTATCATTTTTTAACCCTGATCTTCCTTTTGCTCTTGACCTTACTATTCTATTTTACACTTAGCTAGTTTCATGGAAACTATTCAATGATATATGGAGATAACGAACAGTAATCGAGCTCAAAAATCCATTAAAACAATACAAATTTGGAGCAGAGCAAACAAGGATCTCTAAAAATCAGAGGCCGGTACAGGTGCCATGAAGTAGTAGGCATCCCCTGTCCTGATCAGGTAACTGAAAAATCCGTAAACCATTCAGTGTGTAAGCAATGGCTATATAATTGGTATGAAAAACGTCAGTCAACATTCGATTTAAGGATGGACAAAGCCATTGTATCGACCATAGAATTTGCGAAATGTTGCTTTAAACGAGACTGACGATATCCTTTTTCGTCAACTTATTTATCAATAGCTTGCCTCGTTTCAGAAATTGTTCGGATCTTGAGCATGCTCTTGAGTATCGAATCAACTGAGAGACATAAACATCATATGCAGGTGATAATGGTATATTTCTACATCAATAAAGGAAGTTGACGATAGAAGTATTGAAGTCATCACGTTTATCGTAAAGTTTTGTTGTTAGGTTACCATTAACGTATTTTTCTAGTAAAATATCCAAATATGAAACAGTTTTGTCAGACTCTGTGGTATCTTTCGATTCAAGTTAACTGGGACATATCGAGTTGACATATAAATGGAAGTAACAATTGTTAATTGATGATACGTTGTCGGTATATCTAAATGTCGAGTTGAATGTCACAGCAAGAGACTTCTTCTCATGAAGAAGTTTTTGAATAAATTCTGCTTCATAACAGATGTTTTAACAGGGTTTTAAGTAAGACATGATAAGGACCATCGTTGGAATTTTAACAATTTTGAGAGTCTTAGACAAGGAAACTACGAAATTTGTAGGCTTTTTATACAGACGTTGCAGGGAGGGGGAGCTTGTCAGATCCACGTTATTGGCTTGATTACGCCTCCATGGAACCTGATCCAATCTCTGATGTTTTTTAGAGGTCCGTATTTGCTCTGCTCCGGATTTGTATTGTTTCGATAGACTTTTAGGCTTGATTTCCATATTTTATGTAGAGACTTGCAAAGAGTGAGACACTGAATGTTTTGAATATAGCTAAACTGTACTACAAGGGCCCGCGACAACACTTTTTCATTATTTGAAACTCTGATTTTACATGCCACATCTACAAAAGCGGTAGGAATTGTGTGTTTTCCTTCTTAGACCTTGTACACATATTGGGTGACGTATTTAAAAGGAATTTACCGCTTGTTATAGTCTTACATGTACGCTAATTTGCTGCGGAGATGCATGGTCGTTGTCTAAGGAGTTGATCCTTACGTCACGGGTTCGAATCTCACTGTGGGACGAGGAGACCGGTCTTTCGGATGAGATCCTATAAACCGAGGTCCCATGTCGCATTAGGTGCTTGCATGAAAAAGTTCCCTCTCTGCTTAATGGCCCTGAGTGCCAAGCATAGGTCTAAATTTGTAGACCTCCACCGGCAATTGGTGGCGTCTCCATATGAGTGAAAAATTCTCGAGAGGTACGTTAAACAAAAAACAAAAATAAAATACAGAAGCTCTAAGATTGGAAAATCACTAAGTTTCGTTTTAAAAATGTTCATCTTTAGCAGTATTTCTCCCTGTATGTGTACCAAATATGCTTTGCCATTATCTCCTATTAAAAAATTGTCTTAATCAGAGAAAATTACATTTGAATCAGCAGAGGCTAGTTCTATAATAACTTGACCTTATAGAAAAGCAGGACTATTGATTTCAGGGTGAAAAGGTTTAATCTCAAGGGCAGTTGCAAAAGTTTGTTTATTGATTTGATTTAATATGAAAATCATTTACAAACATAATTTAGAGATGTTCGCTGGCAAAGAAAAAGGATATATTTTTATGTCATTAACAGTGATTGGGGTATTGGTGTTATTTAATAATATCAATCGATTCATTATATGATTAATGTGTTTGCGGAATTAAGTTGGAAAAAAGTGGGGTTTTGAAAGAAAATTCTTTTTGACATGCTCCGTTTATGTCCTTAACCCTGAATAATGCACAATTTCGTCGTTTAAAGCATTCAAAATCACACAACAAAACAATATATATAATTAAAAAATTTGACAAATTTTCATTTAAAAAAAAAAAAGTTCAGTGTTTTTCCAATTACTAGATGAAGTACTGTTCAAGACATGATTATTACTTCATGTAGGCTTTAGTAAACTAAAGGTACTCCGAGCAGGGAGCTCACAAAATGATAATCCTCCCCCTCCCATATGATTATAATGGCAAAGTCCATATTTTTTTTATGGGAGACCCAAAATAAGTGTCAGATCAAAACATAAAATAGAAAGCGCACAATGGCACTATGTAATAAAGATAATGTGAAAGTATCATTTAATTTTATTCTGTGGTATAAAAGAAGTGGCGGATAAGAGATGGATACTCCTTAATATCATAGAGAGAACGGTAGTGTCTATGTTTTGTTATTAGAAACCTGAAATATGTGTCCGATCAAAAAGTTAAATAGAAGGTGCACAATGGCACTATGTTACAAAGATTCTGTGAAAGTCTCAACAAATTTCATTCAGTGGTATAAGAGGAGTTGCGGATAAAAGATGGGTACGCAAAAGTATGACGGACAGACGGACGTACAGCATGACAGACGAACGGACAGACAGAAGGACGGACGGGCATCCCGATCACTAAACACCCCGCTTTTCAAGTTGGGCTATAAAAAGGTTGTTGAGCAGAGCATGTCGACAAACGACTTTAACAAAATGAAAATAGCATATTTCAACTAATCAACAAAATAATCGACACAAACGTGTCTCTAAAACATTATGCAATATACATTTTTATCTACAATAAAAAAAAAACCCACACAAATTAGCCAAGGCGGAATAATATGGATGTCATTTGGCTTAACATTTGATCAAGAAAAATTCCTGAAGAACCTGGATAATATTAGCCTTTGAAGCAAAAATACAATAATGGACAAATATATCATATAGAATATAATCAGCAAATCTCTGTACATCGTTAAAAAGTGTTTTAATGCAAACTGAAGGAATATGGAGTATTTTAAATAGATTGTAGCAACAAAAATAAAGCAAGTGTATATATGAACTCAATGTTTAGATTTTTGTCAAACATACAAAATTGATGATAATTGCGATGTTGATTTCGATGTAATATTTATAGTAATTTTTGTTCGAGAGGTCAAAATACAGATGGAGAGAATGTGCAAGTTGAAAACAAGTATAGATATTAATAAGGAGGGGATAACTGAATTATATATATGATTTATTGTGGTAACATTCATAAGGGATGGATAATGAGAATAAACCAGCCAAGTGATCCACTCTTCTATTTAAATACTAGTACTTTAAATGTTATTGAATTGTGTTGGTTATTACTCATTTATATTTAGGTTTTTTATATGTGTAATTATGAAAAACCTTTATCGATGACATCGAAATATTTAAAGACACACAAGGGGTTCAGAGAAGGGTTATTGTGCTTGAGATAACTAAGATTGATTTTATTTCAGTGAAATTGTTTGACCAAATAAGAACTTAATTGTAAATTCTTTGATATTAAACAGGTTTTTCATATCATTCAAAGACAGGGTTTATGGGCTAAAGTTTTAAAATAGCGTACTTATGATAAATGATTCCGATGTTTAAGCGCTAGTATATAGGAATAAATAGGCCAAAAAGTATTCCAGTTTTGTTTCTGTCGATGCAACGTTTGAGTACGACAAGGTGAAT